TAATCTTCAAAAGAGATGCAATTGATCACAATATTGTCCTTAAAAAGAAAACATAGAAAATAAAGAGCAAATACAGCACATAATATTGCCAACTATAATTATTACAAAACTTTCCACTGTGTCTAGCAAACTATAGGCTTTCTTTGAACACCTTTTGATATCATTACTACATTTATAGACATATATGAAAGTTTCAAGAAGACTACAAATACGAAAAGAGCCATCAGAACAAATTTCATTCTAGGCTAATAAGAAAAAATTTGTGGGATTTTGCATAGCTATTTAACTTCATATTTGTTTTCTTACTATTTTTTCTTTACTCTCCCCAGCAGAATGGATGCTTCCTTTGAACACCACACAAAAAAAAAAATGTTTGTGTACAGAAATGATTTTCTATTTTAGAATTATATTAGTGATTCTTTGAGAAGATATTTATGTTTTTAAAATCCTTTGGCCGTCTTCTTCCAATACTTTTACTCTATCATCATATATTGAGGCAATGCCATAAAATACGTTGGAATAATCATACTTTTCTGTACTGAACTGTGCAAGCTCTGCTTTTATAGAAAACTATACTTCACCCCATGTGAGGACAAGGCTGGTTTAGGCTCCCAGAAATCATTGCAAAAGAACCTGACTTAGTAAACTTACAGATAAATACCTAGTGGCTTGCTGCATAGTGCAATTCTGTTTACTTTTCTATGAGTATTTACATGCAAAATCAGGACTCTAATAAGTTATCTGGCAGAGAAGCATGTGCCTGTGTTAAAATTACTTTAATATTGATGGGTAGGAGTTGAATACCTATTTCTAGTCAAAGACGGAAAAGTGAAAAGATGTATCTACAGCTCTCTGTTCAGTGAATAAAAGTGGACAGTTTCCCTACTTCTGATTAGGACATATGGTTACAAACTATTGTGACTACTTTCTGTATGTATCTACTAAAAAGGAGGTTTTTCTGTTCACAAATGACAAAAACCCCCTTAGGTTTTAAACATCAACCCTTTACAGTGTATGGTTTATTCAAATAGTTAAAATAATTCCTCCACATCTCATTCATGGAAGAAAAAAGAAAAATACTTCAAAAGTTATTCAGCACCAGAATACTGTATTACACATTTCCTTCCTCTTGACTTTTAACGGTACAGCACTTGCTTATGTCCTTTACTGTATATATTGCACTTCAGATATTTAAAAAAAAAAAAAAGTTTAATTAAGTATACTGTAGTCCAGATATGATCAGGAGCACATAAACTCAATCTTCCATTTTTTAAAAGAGATATTAAAATTTTGTCCTATATCTTTTGACTTCCAGAGTGAGATATCTATTATTTTTTATCAGTGAAAGCAGTAGGTTTCAAGTTTGCTGGGCAAGAAAGTGCCCAGATGAATTTTATATGAAAAGCTAAGGAAAGATGAATAAAATGTGAGAGGTACACTTGGAAATTTTGCCTTTTTAAGAGTAAAAATACTCTAATTTTTCTGTATTACAACAAGAACATTACTTTTAAAAGCCTTGTGCCATCTCTTATTGAAGACAATTTGAATGATCTTTATATAAGGGTGGAATTTTTAATTCAGCATATGATCTTTTAAAACTGATTTGCAATAATACTTACCAGCAGAACATCATGTTGCTAGTAATTAGTTTGAACTATGTTTATGCATTTTTCCTATGCCTTACAGAAATTATTCAAGTAATATAATTTTAAACAATTTCACTTTCTGTGTAAGTAAGTGACAGGGAGTAAGGCATTACATGCGTACGTGCATGCATGAGTGGGTAAACATATTTCTGTGTGGATATACCTCAGCTGGGAAATCCCATAAGATGCTGCAGTGTACTTGTAAACAAGGTCATTTACATACTTTTGGAAGACTTTATCCAGTTGATGCACAATGCCTTTTAACTTTACAGTTTTCTTCATTGCATAAGATTTTTGAGCAATTGGGTACCCTAACTCCTTACAATTGGTTTCCTGTTTTTCTATTTAAATTCCATGTTTTCCAACTGCTTAAAAGAGCCACACTTCTTGCATAGAAACAGTGAAATGAAAAATAAAGATATATAGTATGGTTTCCGTGAAAAATATAGATTCCAAAGCTAGCATCCAAAATCTTGAGAGTCTCCCATGAAGACCTAGTGGAACTTTTTAAAACCAGGCTTGTATACCTTCCTGCAACTCAGACAATCTCTAACACAATAAAGACTTGGTTTTGTGAAATTTGCTCTAACTTCTGCCGCTACCTCAGATAACAGGTCTAGACTTTTGATTGGCTATTTCACTATTATCCAGTTCTGTTGTTTAGTTATTACAAAATCAGAGGATCAGAGAATGGCTGGTCTCAGAAGGTACCTCTGGAGGTCGACTTGTCCAACACCCTTTCCAAGCCATTTCCCTAGGATCATGTCTAGACAGCTATTGAATATCTCCAAGGATAGAGACTCCACAACCTCTTGGCTACCTTGCTAGTCCTGAGTCACCTCATACTGTAGAAGTGTTTCCTGATATTCAGATGGAACCTCCTGTGATTCAATGTGTGCTCATTGCATCTTGTTCTGACACTGGATATCACCAAAAAGAGCCTGACTTCATTCTCTTTGCACCCCTCCACTAGGTTTTTGTACACATTGGTGGGATCACCTCTTTCTCTTCCCTTCTCCAGACTGACCCCTCCTAACTATATCAGTGTTTCCTCACATGTCCCTCAAAAAATTCATGACCCTTTGTTGGATTGCCTCTAGCAGCTCCACATTGCTTCCTATTATGCCTCTGTTTTTTCTCTCTACTTGTGGGTGATCCATCTTATTTAACACAGAAAACTTTTTTGGTCTTGGGCGTTTTCCTTACAGGAACACGATTTTCATCTGTCTATTGGAAGATCTAGCAAGTCAGTGTTCATATAACATTAATGTTTTGACCCAGCCAGATTGAGAATAACAATTTGATTGAATTACATGCAGAAGAGCTGCTAAAATCTAAGCCATTTAATGGGATACTATTTAAAAAGTAAATATTTGCAAGTTAAATATGCTCAAACATGGGTGAATTTTAAATTTGTGTGATAATACCTTATTTACAGATTTTGTTTTTATTATAGTAGTATTGGTATAATAGCAATATTTAATGAAGGGTTATCACCTCAGATGTCACAGATTTTATTTCCCTTTCACTGTTGCAGAAATTTATTTTTTAAAACTGAGCAGGTCTACATATTTCTAGAATGTTAATGGATTGTGCATTTCTGTATGTGTTGTTTCAACATTACTGTATTGTTAAATGAGCACATACTTTCAGAGTTGTTTTGTGGGTCAAATTTTATGGTCTAGATTGTTCCTCAGCCTGGATTCTTGCTACTGCCATTGCTTTATATGAAAACTCTCATATGGGGAAAATTCTGGCAGGATGGTTTTTGCTTTCTTTCCTCCTATGTACTTTACTAATATGGTGGAGTGTTTTCAGTAAATCAGGGTAATCCTTGTGAACTCAGTAAAAGGAAGAAATGCAATGGTTACATGAGATACTGGCATGGTAATTCAAACCATAAGTAAAAGTAGATTTCTTTTCAGTATCTCACTTTCAGAGCTAGATATCAGCGTCCCGAGTACATTAGCTGAAATATTTGATTACCTTTAGTGTTGTTGGTAATCATATCTATCTACTGATCCATAAAAATACGTAACAATTAATACTAATTGCCTACTCAGCTATATTTGCAGTCCTGTAAGTTCATGAGTATTTACTGATGATTTATGTTGTGCAACTGTAAAAGAAATTTAGGAAAAACAGCAGCCTGGTTATAGAGGGGCAATTTAAAAAGCGATCTTACAACTCTAGTTTTTGAAGTCAACACATTTTGACTGTTTAGGTTAATATGGCTGATCTTGCTTATACAGCACTAGACTACTTTGTTATATTATCTGGTTATGATTCTTACTGTTCTTAATTGACTAAGGCTAGAGGGAAAGAGCAGTTTTTGTGGCTTCGTTGTAAGTTTAATTTTTTTCATTTGATACATCTCCTTCTTCCAAAGCTTCTCTTCTTAATTTTTTTAAAATTTTATTTATAGTGCTTTCTACACTGACTCGGTTCAGAAACAAGATCAGCTTCATGCGTAAATGAGAAAAACAGTGCACAACATTCATTTTAGGTAGAAAAACAGTGCAAGTGATAAAAAAATTCCCAGACAAGACCAGTCTATTCTAAGAAATCACTTCTTGAATTGCTTTAGCCTCCCATATTTCTGGTTTTGGGCAATATCTTCAACCTGAGCCAAATTTTGTGAAATTATGATTTATATATGGATGGCTGTCTATTGAAACACAGGTCTGAGACCAAATTCATTTTATCTCTGTATTACACCTGACTATAAAGACAAGATACAAGCCCTCTCAGATAGTAAATACAATCATGTTTATCTGATGGAAAATAGCACATGTATTAGACTTATTACCTTGTTTGTACAATGACTGCTATTGGTAATTCTTATGGTATTTGTTTCCAGTAAGACCAAAAGGATGCTTCTGACTAAGAAAGTGTCTCCTTTTGGTCAGTAGGGATGGCAGAGTATTCATAAACACAGAATTAAGTTTGGATTTCTCTAGTTAAGTTGAGTGTTATTCTTCAACATGCAAAATAGGCAAAAAGATTCTGAATGGATCTGTAAATATATCTTTCACTACGCTGATGTATTAAAATGTCATGTGGTTAGCTGTGTGATGTTCTCACTTGCTAATGTATGCAGAAATATTTTTGTACTCTTCTGAAAGAGAGAGACAGAGAAAAGCAGGATTTCATAACAGAAAAAAATAACTTGGTATGATGGTATCAATAATTTCTGCATTAATAATTATTGTGTTGCCATAGTTTTGAAACAGTTCCCATTTCCAATAAGTATATGTATAATTATGTAACTAAAGTACATTATAAAATTTGAACATATTAGCATAACATCCTAGATATTGAACAAAACTAATTTTGTCTTTCTCTATTTTTAAGATCCAGATTTTAAGGACCTTGGAGTTTTGAAGCCATTGCCAGGTTGGTATGCTGTTTTGGGGGTTTTTTCTAACTTAGAGGCCTTTATACTCTGCTGTAGAAAACATTTTTGTTTGCTGTTCAGGTTTCATTTTTTCTGGTGTTTTGTTATTCAGTTTGTGAGTTTGAGATGGGAGGACCTGAAGGAATTGTGGAATCTGTACAAATTGTTAAAGAAGGAAAAGCTTCTGAAACTGAAGCAGTAGACTGTAAATGGTACATCCGAGCACCACCCCGATCCAAGGTCAGTCCTTCATCCACTTGCTGATTTGCCATTTAATTTAAGAAATTGCCTTTTCTAATATATTGTGCATTTCTTAGTACAGTCAGATCTTGTTTAATAACTTTACAGCTTGAACTGTAAACTATTTTTTTCCTTCTGCTGTGGAAGGGTAATTTGTCATCTCAGCCAAAATAGCCACCTTTCTTCATAAATGATGATTTGGGCAGTACTAATGTGTTTTTTGTGCCATAAGTAATTTTCTTAAATTCATCTTTAATTTTGCTCATATTTTTAAAGAATCAATGTGTATTTTAAAATGGGAAGTAATCTTATAATTTTAATTTTCAATATATTTCAAATACCTAACATAGAGACAACTAATGGGGTGCTGCTGGCTCCCTGAGGTCATCATTGTTTCTCATCTGGGAACTGTGAAAATGGACCTAAAGTAAATTAAGGTTCCTCCGTATGAAACCTTTAATTCCTTTAGTTTAGAGACGCAGACAAAAAGAGTGTTCTCTTTTCTTTTCCTCCACAGTCAGCAAGCCAGGGCTTTGTAGAAAACATGAGAGGACTGCAATGAATTAAAAAAATACTTTTCTTGGATTCCCTTTGATTTTCTCTCTTATCCATAACTTCTCAGTTATGGTATGCATTAATTGTTGCTGGCTACACTACCACTTCTTCCCTCTTTGCAACAGGAACAACTTTATGCCTCCCACCCACCCCACTTGCATTCACTGTGCAAAAGACACCCCACAGTATACTTTTTCTAGTTGTCTTTTATTGGACAGGAAAGGTTTTAGAAAGTAGGATTTATATATGCACTATTCTCTGCTGTCTTTAAACTGATAAGGGCTTTTTTTGTATAACCTCAGTGAGGAGACTGTACTGAATATGTAATTGTTTCATCATCAGAATGACACATGGATGAATGTTGAAGGGTTCTCTTCAGGAAAGGTTTTCAGAAGAGAAGAAAATCATTAGTATCAGCATTTTTCTATTGGGAAAGTATAGGAAAAGAATTGGCTCATAAAGACTACAGATAAATGATTTCCAGAATATACTTTCATCTTATAACATTTTTTTTTTTTTACTTTTGGATAAAATTAATATTGATAGACGTTTTCAATTAAGTAGATGAGCTTCCCATTTTGCCACACTAAGTAGTGATATGAAATTATTGGACTGATGAATGATTATTCTGTGTTATAGGCAGTTTATATTCATTCAGCGCAAATCTCAGTATCGATACAAACTTCAGGAAGAACAGATGGAGGGCAGCTCTGCCGATAAGGTTTTTGGGATTCTGGTGGATAAGAGGCTGAACATGCCCCAGAAATGTACACATCCAGCCCAGAAAGCCAGGCGTGTCCTGGGCTGCATCAAAAGCAGTGTGGCCAGCAGGGTGAGGGAGGAAATTCTGCCCCTCTGCTCTGGTGAGACCCCACCTGGTACACTGCATCCAGCTCTGGGGTCCTCAGCATAGAAAAGACATTGACCACTTGGAGCAGGTCCAGAAGAGACCCACAAAAATAGTGAGAGGAATGGAGAACCTCTCCAGTGAGGAAAGGCTAAGACATGAAAGTTTGTTCCATCCAAAGAGAAGACTCTGGGGAGACCTTATAGCAGCCTTCCGGTACTAAGGGGGAACCTGTAAGGAAAAAGGGGACAAGTATTTAAACAGTAGTGGTAAGACAAGATGTTTTAACCTAGAAGAGGGGAGATTTGGACTAGATATGAGGAAGACATTTTTACAATGACGGTGAAATGCTGGATCATGTTGCTCAGAGTTGGTCGATGACCATCCCTGGAAACATTCAAGGCCATGTTGGATGGGGCTCTGAGTAACTGGATTTAGTTGAAAACATCCTTGCTTATGACAGGGAAGTTAAACTAGTTGACCTTTATATGCCACTTCAAATTTAAATTACTCTATGATATATTTAGGTATTAGTAGAAAGAAAACGGACAAACACAGAATTGTTATTAGAATCAGCAGAGTTAATTAAGCCAATAGCGTTTCCCTGTACTCTAAATTCAAGTTTATGGTTGATCATATAATGTAATTGTGATATCCTTACTTGGCCTGACTTTGAAATTCTATATGATTCTATAAAGCCCTGCTAAAAATCACAATTTTACCTACCTGTAGTCTTTATCCTTACCTCAGTTCTGATGTAAAACTCCAAACTAGGAATTTATGTAACTGAAGACACATTGTGTGTCAGAAGAATACTAAACTACCACTCTTAGCAGAGGGCTAAAATTTAAAGTTCATTAATTCTTCATAAACTTCCATATCTGCATTTAGTTTTGTTGCATTCCAAGAAGCTTATCCTAGCTGAACTGTACCTGGAATGGAGAGCAACAACGAAGTTTTAGAAAAATGAAGTAATACTGAATGTTATTTAATGTCATCTAGAAAATTATGTGAAGGAGAGTAAAACAATGCAATAACAGGCTCTTACAAGGAAGAAGGAATGCTGTGATTCCCATGTCTGCAGGATAACTCAGGGTCCCACACTCTGGAAGTAAGTTTCAGGTTAAATATGAAGGAAAAAAATTCAAACATCGGTGAGGATTTATTGGTTCAGCTGGCATTGTTAGAGGTCTGAAAGTGTAGGTTAGATAACAACCTGTGAAAAAATGAGAGAAACATTAATAATCCTACCTTTAGGCAGAGGGCTGGACTGGGTCATCTCTTGATGGATCCTGCTGTTCCCATCTTACAGAACTACCTGTGTGGAGAGATTGAGCAATATAAAAGTATATAAATCAGTGTTTCTTAATGTGGAGTTGAAAGGTTTCACAGCAAGCTAGAAAAAAAAAAAAAGATTTTTCAAGGCTAGATCCATCTTTGGGGGGTAAGTCCAATTTAGCATTTGAACTTAGTGTGGTTTTTTAAACAGATATATTTATGTACACACAGACAAGTATGTACATACATAGGTGCACACACATACAGTTTCATCATACTGAGACAAGTTGAAAAATATACAGCTATTAAGGAAGGAGGAACAACTGGATAAATTATTAAGAACTTTGTATAAAGCAAGGTTTGTGATAAGATTGTTTATGGGTCTGATTCAATTAAACTGGAATCTACTGTCCATGTTTTACAGTCAGCTTCCTTTGTCCCTATCTAACCTTGAATAAATGACATATTCAGTACAGTTATTTAATGACATCATTTTAATTTATGTCAGTTTGCACCTATGAAAACAAGCTCTCCTGCTAAGAACAATGAGAACTCCGCAGACATCTTTAAACCCACATGTTCCTGTACCCTGGGCTGCACAGTTTGTTACTGGGAATTATGCCTAAAAGGCAAGAGTTTCTCAAAGAGAATTTGTGTTGGATTTTTTTCATCTTTAGTTTCTTAATTAAACTGTGCCAGAATGTGAGCTGCTTGCAATTCAATTTGGCGTAAGCTCATCCAGTCTAAACTGTCTGCAGAAGCAAGATGCAAGTCCTTCCCTTGGTTTCCAATTCCAGATTCCAGCCAAGTCTGAGCTCAATATATGAGCAATGAGATCAGCCAGGAAGTGTGTACTTGAGGTCTCTAAGCTTGAGCTTCAAACTGACAGTCTGGGTCTAATTCTTCTGTCCTCAGTGTTCTGGAATGGGACAGAGAGCAGAAAATTTGTTGCACACACTTAAAATAGAGCCATCATTGATTACCTTATATCACACACACACACACCCCAACACAGACACACACAAGGAGAAAAATAAATCTGAAATGCATGCAGAGCCCAAACATTCTGTAAGTGCAGAAGGCAGTCTGAACACAACTTATATGCAGAGCTAGAGTCTTATACAGTGAAAGTGACTAGTTGTTAAGTCTGTGTTTCTTGTAATCATTCAAAGTCAGTTCCTGCTGAGTAAGATAGCTGTGAGTTTTGAGTGGAGTAACACTGGGGTTCTGCACTTCATAGAGAATGTGGCCGCAATTAGTATTCAGAGCAAGAATGGAAAATTAAGAGAGTTGCTGACTGAAAGTGCTAACCCACCCAGAACAATAAAGTTCTGGAGGGATTTTCTGATCTGAAAATTCTTCATTGTAGAGCAAAACCCAGTGAAGAAAGTGTATAAGCTTATTGCAGAGTGATTTGAAAAATTTCTGGGACATCATTTGCTGCAAGCAGTGGATACACAAAGATTTTGTATTTAGGATTAGAAAATAAGAAAATAAATATAATTATAGTTTTCTTACTTTCTGTTAAGGGTGAAGCATTGGGGGATAATATCAACAAGTGTTTTTCTATATTGGATGAGTCAGCATAGTTTGACAAACCCCCAGGAAGGCGGAACCATGTTTGTTCTCTCTTTAGTGGACAACTTTCCCAGCAAGGTACCTTTGTGTCATGCTTGTTCTTTGAGAGGCTCTGTAGAAAAAATAACACAGCAGAACTTGATAGTAAGAGTAATAAAATATTTACAAGTATGATATTCTTATATTGGGAAAAAAAAAAAAACCCAGTAAGCAGTGCTATTTAAAACACCATTTATTGGGCACGTCAGAAAATGCTCTGGGCACCTCAGAAAACAGCATCAAAACAGGAATTAATTTTAATGTAGTCCAGTGGAAAGAATCTATTCTGGAGGACTAAGCAATAAGTACATTTAAGCTGAAGAAGTAGTGGGAGTAGCCTCTTTATTTGAACCATGAGAAATAAAATGAAGTTATAAGGTAGTTAAGCAAAGTGATGTCTAATTCTCTTGTCCAACCTGAACAGGATATTGGACAAAGGTTATAGCATGCAAGACTTAACACAAGAGATTAAGGAAACACAGAGTGTCAATTGATGAATGTCTAGATTTGACACATCATGGCAGCATCCTTAACCCTGAGCTGCCAGGGAGTGGTGGCATCTGTTTCAAGCAGAGCCACTGGGGAGCCGTGGGAAGGGAATATACAGCACATGGGAGGGGGCCAGGATGAAGGAGGCCACAGTGCCAGGACATGACTAAGGAGACTGGGACAGGCCTGGCCATGGTGGCTGGGCTTGCCCAGG